TTTTGGCAATTTTTACCCCAAACTTGGCCACATTTTCCCAAATTTTGCCTTTTTTCACCCCCCAAAATCGGCATTTTTTGTTTTTCAGGTCTTTTTTTGCCCAAATTTTGATGTATTTGGCCTTTTTTGTGGTTTTTTTTGGCAGCCACGCAGAATGGGGTTGGATGGGGTTTTTTTTGCCCTTTTTTGGCCCTTTTTACCCCAAACTTGGCCACATTTTCCCAGATTTTGCCTTTTTTCACCCCCCAAAATCCGCATTTTTTGTTTTTCAGGTCTTTTTTGCCCAAATTTTGATGTATTTTGCCCTTTTTTTTGGCATCTCTTGCAGCGTTGGAGGACTGTAGAGTTCTACTATGGAGGAGTGCGACGAGCGCCCCCTTGTGGCTGGAGGACCGTATCGGCTCCCACCCCTTCATTTGCATATATGCAAACAACAGAGCCTCATTTGCATACACGTACGGCCTTCTGCCGCTCCCCTCCCCCCTCTCTCGTTTGCATATGCAAATCGAAGCCACGCCTCCGTGCCCCTCAAGGCTTTATTGGGTTCGTTGGGGGCTCGTGAGTGCTTAATTAGAGGAGTAATTAATTGCAAGTTTAATTGGAGGCGGGTTGATTACTGGATTCTTAATTAGGAGGTGAAGATATAGAAAGGATGAATATTAAGAATATATTTAATGAGTGCCTGAAAGCATGGGAGGTTTTAACGAGTGCAGTCGTGAGAAAGGGTTAATGATATTTAATTAATGATATTTAATTAATGTTTAATTAGTGTTTAATTAAACAGTCTTTGTGCCACTGAGTGCAATTAATTAAAAAGCTTCAAGTCCAGCCAATAATTAGCTGTCATCAATCATTAAAAAATTAATATTAACCCCGCAGTTAATAAAGCCGACGATGTGTAAACGCATTCAATTGTAGAAATTAATAAATACTTAATTAACGTGGCACTAATTACCAGTTGATTGGGTTATTAGAAGGTTCAGCTGTCGAAATAATTGCACACTCACTTCAGGTTGCGTTAATTATAAATTTATTCCACCACAAGAGCCGTTAATTAGACGTTGTTTAACGGCGAGTTTAATCGTGAGTCTATTAAGTACGTCATTAATTAATTAATAGATTGAATAATGAACACAATTTGGCAAGAAAAAGGCAAAAAAAATTAAAAAGTATTAATAATTAATTCCGAAATA